TGCTGTGGCCTGGGAGAGCAGTGGAAGATGACCCAAGTCCTTGGGCCCCTGAACCCATGTGGGAGACCCAGAGGAAGCTCCTGGCTCCTGGCTTCGGATCGGCACAGCTCCGGCCATTGTTGTCAATTGGGGAGTGAACCAGTGGGTAGAAGACCTCTCTCTCTCTCTCTCTCTCTCTCTTTCTCTTTCTCTCCGCCTCTCCTTCTCTCTGTGTGTAACTCTGACTTTCAAGTAAAATAAATAAATCCTTTAAAAAAATTTTATCCTCTTTTATAAATGTAAACGTGTACTTTATTCTAATTTTCATTCCCCTGGTGAAGTTGAGCATCTTTTCATATATTTATTGCCCAACTAGGATTCTCATTGATGAGTTTCTTATTCACAACCTTTGTTTATTCTAAATATTGGATTACTATGGTTTTTTTTAAAAATTGATTTGATAGAATATTGATGTATTGGCTGGTGCCGCGGCTCACTTGGCTAATCCTCCACCTGTGGCGCTGCACTCTGGGTTCTAGTCCCAGTTGGGGTGCCGGATTCTGTCCCGGTTGCTCCTCTTCCAGTCCAGCTCTCTGCTGTGGCCAGGGAAGGCAGTAGAGGATGGCCCAAGTGCTTGGGCCCTGCACCCGCATGGGAGACCAGGAGAAGCACCTGGCTCTTGGCTTCAGATCAGCGCGGTGCGCCGGCTGTAGTGGCCATTTTGGGGGTGAACCAATGGAAAAGGAAGACCTTTCTCTCTGTCTCTGTTTCTCTAACTCTGCCTATCAAAAAAAAAAAAAAAAAAAAAAAAAAAAAAAAAAAAGAAAGAAAGAATATTGGTGTATTAATCTTTTATTGGGTAAATGGGTTTAAATATCTTTAGTCTATAAATATCCTTTGATTTTTTTTAAAAAATTATATATTTTTATTTTATTTGAAGAGAGAGAGAGACAAAGAGACAGAGATCTTTCATTTGCTGTTTTACTCTCCAAATGCCTGCAATGGCTAGGGCTGGGCCAGCCAGGCCTGGAACTCAATCCAGGTCTCCCACATGGGTGGCAGATGACCAAGCACTTGAGCCATCATTTCCCCCACAGGGTACACATTAGTAGTAAGCTGGCAGAAGCAGAGGAGCCAGGACTTGAACTTGGTACTCCAGTAGAGGATGCAGGTATCCCAAATGACATCTTAACCACTGTGTCAAATCCACTGCTCCTTTGATATTTTCTACCATATCTTTTATACACAGATACTTTTAGTTTAATACTCAAATATATTTCTTTATGCTTTGTACTTTTGAGTTGTCAGGAACAAAATTATTCCTTCTTCTGATTAAATAAAGATTTACTCTTCATTTTCTTCTAATATTTTTACTTGTTTTTTTACCTTTAAAATTTTCATTTACTTGGAATTTTTTAAATCTAGTGCAAGGTAAGGAAACAATTAATTAAAATTTTTGTACAAGTAGCTAACTGTTCCAGAACTACTGAGTTTCTCATCTTTTCCTGCTGATGGCAATGCTATTTCTGTTTCATGCCATTTTTCCTTATGTACTTAAGCTGTTTCTGGCCTAATCTGCTCTTTTAATCTACGTGGTTATCCCTAAACAAATATTGTGTTATTTTAAAAAATGTGGCTTTATGATAAAGTTTTCCTATCTGGTAAGTCAATGTCCTCCCTCCTTAATTTTTCCCTCAGAATAATCTTGGCTATTTTTGGCTTATTTATTCTTACATATGAAATTTAGAACCAGTTATCAGTTATAAAGACCCATAAAAAGACCTTTTGGGATTCTGATTGGTGTTACAATGAATTTACGGCTTAACTTTATAATAGTGAGTCCTTCAATTCACAAATATAGTGTAGTTTCCGTCCATTTAAGTCTTCCTTTATGTCCTTCAATAATGTTTTGTGAGTTTCTCCTTAAAAGCCTTGCCTGTCTTATTTATAGGCATCTTTAGTTTCTGTTGCTCTTGAAATTGTATTTTTTTTAAAGATTTATTTTATTAATTTCAAAAGCAGAGTTACAGAGTAAGAGAACGAGAAAGAGATAGAGAGATTGAGAAAGAGATGTCGTCCACCTGCTGGTTCACTCTCCAAGTGGCCATAAAGGCCAGGACTGAGCCAGGCCAAAGTCAGGAGCCAGGAGCTTCATCAGGCTCCCCCACATGGGTGGCAGGAGCCCAAACACTTGGGCTATCTTCCGCCGCTTTTCCCATACCATTAGCAGGGAGCTGGATTGGAAGTGGAGCAGCCCGGACTTGAACCTTGCCCATATGGGATACTGGCATTACAGGCAGTGTCTCTACCCACTATGCGACAGTGCCGGCCCCTTGAAAGTGTATTTTTATCACTAACAACACTACTGATATGGGGATGTTTTCTTTACCAGAAATTTGCTGAATTATTTTAATGTTTTTCTTGGACTTCCTACATAGATAATCATTTCCATGGCAGACAACAAAGGTTTTTCTTTTCTATTTTCTAATCCTATTCCTCATATTTATGAAGGATTTTTTTTTGTTTTTATATTGATTAGACTGTCTAGGACAAGGTTTAACAGTAACACAGAGTGGAAAGCATTTTTGTTTCCCATTGCAATGAACTGCTCCTAGTTTCTCACTCTTAACTGTGACGTGTGCTGTAGGTTTGCTGTAGGTTTTTGGTAGACAGCTGTCTCAGTGTATCTGTTCTATTCTCCTTGCAGTAAAAGAGCCTCTGGGTTTTAGCTGGTCATCTAGCTGTCCAAAACATACATCGTCTTTCTCCCTGGCAGGCAGCAGACTGGTTCCATCTTTAAGCTCTGGCTAACGAGCGATAATTAAAAGTGGTGCTGTCCTTGAAGGGCAGGAAAGCTCTCCCCTCTCCTTTCCTCCTCCTCTCAGTTTGCTGGGGTCTGTTCTCGATGGCTGAGGTAGAAAAGCCATCGCAGTCCACAGGACGGAACCAGGCCAGAAAATCAAGAAGGGGCTTGGGGTTTGAGGATCGCGCAGCTGCTCTGCTTGGCAGAGCCTGCGCCTGGTCACATGAGCAAGAAATCTGAGCCACTGTTTTGATGTTTTGTTTTGCCCTCCCCCTTTGGTCATTTGCAGTGAATCTTATCTTAATTAAACCCTAATTAGGTTAAAGACATTCTCTTTTATTCCTACTCTGCTTAGTGTTTTAAATCATGACTAATATTTTACAGTGTTTCTTCTGCAATGATTGAGATGGTCAACAATTTTCTTTACAATAGTCTTTCTACTTTATCTATTCTATTTATTTATCTTTGTTTCTAACCAGGATAGGAAGACTGGTTTTATTATTGTAAAACAGATTACTATGAATATTTTCTGCCTAATTAAAAATATTTTGAGGCCGGTGCCGTGGCTCAGTAGGCTAATCCTCTGCCTGCGGCAACTAGGTGCCCAAGCACTTGGGCCATCTTCTGCTGCTTTCCCAGTTGCATTAAAGGAAGTGGAGCAGCTGAGACTGGAACTGGCACCCATATAAGATGGCAGCATCGCGGGTGGTAGCTTAGCCCAATGTGCCAACAGCCCTACTGATGCCTTTATAAAGCATCCATAAACATGGTACCTCCTATGTTTGAAGAAATGGCTGTGTTCAGAATTTAATTTAGACAAAACAATTTCCTGAAGGTAAGATGTTTAATCTGTTAAAATGGGAAGGGGCCTGAGTGAAACAATTAGTCGAAGGGAGTGGCCAGGGATGACTTGTGGGGCAGGGCTGAACAGAGAGGATTTGAAAACAGAAAATAAAAGGCTTTCTAAAACTGGCTGCCTAGGATACAAATTGCCTTGGTAATGACTCTGAGAGGCGGTTAACAAGCATGCATTGAAGACAGAGTTCTGAGAGAAAAGAAATAGAAACTCTGATTTCAATTATTCATTCATTCATTCACCGCTCAAACATTATCGATTGCTTGCTACAAATCCAGCATTGTGCGAAGTGTTGGGCTCTGTTCTTCACAAGTTTGCAATTCAGAGAGGTGAAACACAAGCATCGGAAGTCAACTGAGAAGGACTGAAAGGAGGAAAAGCCAAGTGTAGTTTGCCTGAAGAAGGGATCAGAACAGCTGGGCTTAGTAAGAATAAGCTTTCTGAGGACTGGAATCTGCAAGGTACGAAAGTTTGAGAGAACGCTGCAGCTGCGAAAGCCTTATGTCTGTAACCTGACGTCTCAGGTGCATACCTGTCATTTCATGCATGGCGATGTACCTCTAGTTCTCCTAAACTATAAACAGTGCTCCCTTCCCACAGAACCTTTAGCTATTTTCCATTAGGAAATTATGTATGTAAAAACTAGAAAGAAGACTGAAATTATGGGATTTCAGAGAGGGAGGTTACCTGTTCTCGTACATACTCTGTGGCAGGTACTATAATCATCTACCCAATATCTACTTTCCCCTGCCAACTGAACCCAGTTTACATTTTTAAAATTTCTGTTTATTTGTTTGAGATACAGGGAGACAGAGACACAAAGAGCTCTCATCTGTTGGTTCATTCCTCAAATGTCAGGGCTGACAAAAGTCAGGAGGCAGGCAAAAGTCAGGAGCCAGGAACTCAATCCAAGTCTCCCCTGTGGCAGCTCCAGCCTTACCCCACCCAGAATTAAGTCCAGAAGGACACAACCACTTGAACCCTCCCCGACTCCCCTCAGAGTGGGCATAGGCAGGAAGCTGGAATTGAATTGACAGTTTAGTCGAGAGCATCAATAAACCCATTACAAACCCCCACACATTTCTCAGCCTTCCTTTCAGGTGGGGTGCTCTGTGGGTCTTCCCGCTATGCCCTTCATTCTTCCCCTTCTTGCCCAGAGGCCGTCTCTATGAGAACAAGGGAGGGGTCGCCTCTAGAAAGCTGTGTGCCTGTTGGCATCCTGGGGCTGAGCCTGCTGGGAGGGATGGCCCAACTCCAGGCTTCTTGCATGAGAAAAATAAAACCTCTAAGACACTGGTGTTTGTCACTAGCAGCCAAACACAATCCCTGCCTGATAAACAATCTAACCTACTTCTTTCACAGGGAGGAGGCAGAGGCCCAAGAACGTTTCATAAACCTGGGAAGACGGTATCAAGTTAAGACTCTCGCTTTGAAGTGACAGAAAAGCCAATCCCAAACCTTCTCGGCAAAAATACAGAATTTATCAACTCAGATAACTGAAGTCAGGTGTGGCTTCCTCCGGAGACTCCAGTGATTTTTTTTTTCTCCCAGATTCTGGTTTTCCTCTCCGCGTCTTGGCTCTGCTTCCTTGTGCTCAGTCCATTGCAAAGAGGCTCTTTTCTCTTTGTGGCAAGGTGGTGCCAGTGGCTCCGGCCCGACCCCACCCAAGATTAAGTCCGGAGGGCAAGCACAAGCTCTCCTTGAAGGAGACTCGGCTCACTAAGCAGAGGTGTGAATGTCTGCTCAGTAGGTGCCAAGATCCAAAGAGCGCCCGCCCGGGACTCCAAGTTCCAGGTCAGTTCACTTCCTACTTTATTAAATAGCCCCTGATCCCACTTTTTAAAGGAGTTTTACTTATTTATTTTAACTTATTTGAGAAAGAGCGAGCGAGCTTCCATCCTTTGGTTTACTCCTCAAACACCCACATCAGCAGGGGCTGGGACAGGCCAAAGCCAGAAGCACAGAACTCAATTCAGGACTCCCATGTGGGCAGCAGGGCCCCAAGTACTTGAGCCATCACCTGTTGCCTCTCAAGGTGCCCATTAACGGGGGCTGGCATTCAACCTGGGACTCCAGTATGGGGTGTGGGTGTGCTATGTGATTTATCAGGCACTGCACCACACATCTGCCCCCTCTGATACATTAACATAAGGGGCATGCCACATCCATGAGAGAGATCAAGTATTATCTTGGATCACATGAGTGATGACATGTTCCTTTGGAAGTTTCTGATCACTGAAGTATATGAGGATAACAGAAAATATACTAAATCTATCTAGAAGAAATGAGAACACAGTGGGCACCATATTTAGCAATGGTCCCCACCACTGAAGTCCATGTCTGATTGGGGATTTAGGGTTGACTGGCTCATACATTACAGCCTCTCCTTTGCTTTTGAAGTAACTCTGACTTTCTTTCTCAGATTCCTCATTCACCCAAGACAGATATTTATTTAGTGGTTACATAGGGCAGAGGTCTACCTGTTCCTTACAACTTCAGTTCAGGCTCTCAGGGCTGAGTTCAGAGTTCCCTTAGGTTATTTTCTACCTGGTTTTTACATGCTTTGATCCTTGGTCCAGACCTTACAGAAAAACCTTAGGTACATTATTATTCAATGGAAGGGTTTACAAATGGATTCTCCTGCCTTGACTAAACAAGTTCAGAGTTGGTGAACTCAAGGGGCTTCCATAGCCTAGACAGTTTATGGCAAGAGCCTCAGGGGACTGCTAACGTCATGAGTAAGAGTGCCAATTGTTAAATCAACAACGGGAGTCACTGGGTACAGGCTCCCCATGTAGGATCTCTGTCCTTAATGTGTTTTACTATGAAACTTAAAGACAACACTACTAGTCGAACAATACCCTATACCTTGAGCGGTTGTGTGAGTGCAGCCTGTTGAAATCCTTGCTTAGTGTATACTACGTGGATCTTCTGTATATGAAGGTAATTGAAAATGAGACTCGATGAAGGGCGGGACGGGAGAGGGAGTGGGAGAGGGGAGGGCGCCGGGAGGGAGGGAGGTTGGTGGGGGGAAGCCACAACAATACGAAAATTGCACTTTGTAAATTCACATTTATTAAATAAAAAAACTTTAAAAAAAAACCAAATAGATACTCCTTAAAGACATTATTTTTAGAAACCTGTTTTCTTTTACAGAAGAATTGTTGGCCATTAGGACTGTTGAACTTCTTCCACATTTAGTTATTGTAAAAATGAACATTTACTGTCTTAAATATTAATGCTCAAGCCATGTTTGGAGTGAAATTTGGGAAAGCATGCTCATGCAGACTGGTGTCTCACCGATTTACCCTTTGAGTTCTATCCAGTTGTATTTACTTGGATTTTCGACTGCTAAAGAGTAAGTCTAAGATAACTTCTTTTCTGATTAGAATCTTTGCTCTTCCAGATAACGAAGTATAGAGTAGAAGACCTCTTGGGTGACTCATTTTTAGTGGTGTTTGCTTCTCTGTTAACATTTTTGGTGGGTGCAGCTGTTGCCCTGCAATGATGATGAGCCCAGTGGTGGACACTGCAAATCTCTGTCTTTCCTTCTCCTTTTCCAGAGTTTTCTCGCTCCCTCATTCTGAATATTCAAGCAATTTCTGGATTCTTTTGATTCTACTTCCACAATGTCTAGCATATGCAATTCCTTCTATTTTTTTTTTTTCTGCCCCGCTATTTAGGGCCTTTCTGGTTCTTGGCTGGTCTCTCTTACCAGCCTCTCAGTTGCCAGTTTACTCCCTACACTGGTGCCTCTGCTACTTTCTTAAAATATAGCTCTGTTCAGGTGGTCATGCCCCCTCTTCAAAAACCTTCAGTGCTTCCCAGTGCTTACTGGATGAAGAACAATATCCTTGGTATACTGTTCAAGGCCTTTTGCCTCTGCTCTGTTCTTACCTTTCCAGTTTCTTCTTCCATTCTATTAATCTCTGTGTCCAGTATCAAATTCTTATTAAAATGTCAATGATGGTTTCATTCTGAGATTTAGAGCTATGTGCTCACAATCAATTATATGCTATTTAAGGTAAGAGTTGCATTTTATTAATTTTTACCTTTCCAGACACTGTACAATCAAGTGTTCACAATTTATCACAGAGAGACTCACGAACTATAATTTATTGTGATGATCACTATGCCAGCAATTTGAACAAAATGCTATGGGAATCCAGGGGAGAGAATAATTAACATTGCTTGGAAGGGTACAGGATGAATTCACACGGAAGTGCTACCTGAGCTGGATTTTGAAGCAAAGTAGGACTTTTACAGGTGGAAAATTGAAATGAATAAATAAACGAATACTCTCAACTCTATTTTATAATTAGATTCTAACACCCGTAGGCAGGTCCATTGTATGCCTTTTCCCACGTTTGGGCCAGTCCACATTTTCTTATTTGGCTGAAACAAATGCTTCCCAGGTGGAAATGTTATTTCTAAAGCCAGTCTAGTTTGTACAATAACTTCAACTTAGCCCTTCAGTTCTGGGGCTTAGTTATGGATGACCAATTCAACTATTTTATCAATGCATTCTTAACCTAAGTATTCAGCCATAATCCTCAGCAAAGCTGAAACAAAGATACTCAGTTTCTTTGACTATCCACTGACAAAGTCCAATGAAGCCCAGGTATTTCTTGGAATGTTTGCATCAACACATCATGGCCATGATGAATCACACGGTCAACATTCATATGTCAGGACTCTGGCAGCAACTGTCTAACTTCTTTTAATCCCCATAGGGAATTGTGATTGGAGTGAAGAGGTATCAACTGTAAGGGGTAGTGGGAGAAGAAAGAGTGTGGTGCATAGCATGGCATTCCTTCCTCTTCCTCTGTTATCAGCTAAGAAAGCAAAAAGAGAATTTATTTCTAGATGCCTGTATAGATCTCTCACAGAAGACCCATCACGAAGCAGGTGTTTGTTTACAGGGCAAATCCCCTGTCAGGTGGAGTTTACTTAGTAGATTCATCTTTGTACCATCTTTGTATCCCCTACCCTTGGTGTAATTGCTGGCATCTGTTCATGGACTGGGAGAAGAATAGATTTGCTTCACAGGGAGGAATGTTTTTCATCTTTTCTGGTTATGGACCTTTCAGAAAGCTTACAAAGGCTAAAATTTTAACCTTTATCTCGAGGAAAGAGATGCATAAAGGTACAAGCTTGCAAAAATTTGCAAGGGAGAGCACAGATACCTTGAAGCAAATCCATGGTCCTCGGGTTAAAGCTCCCTAAATTGAGACAACGTGATACTTTTGTTCAAACTACTCTCACAGCTGCAGTGGGATAACAAAATAGACTAAACAAACAGTATGATTAAAGCAGAAAGAGCATCTTGGCAAATATAATTTGGGGAATCAGGGCCAGTATAATAAGGACTTGCTCACAGTTTGCATATGTCTAACTTCCCTATTTTTTTTTTTTAAAGATTTATTTATTTACTTGAAAGGCAGAGTTACAGAGAGGTAGAGACAGAGAGAGAGAGAGAGAGGTCTTCCATCTGCTGCTTCACTCCCTAAATGGCTGCAATGGCTGGAGCTGTGCTGCTCTGGAGCCAGGAGCCAGGAGCTTCTTCCGGGTCTCCCATGTGGGTGCAGGGCCCCAAGGACTTGGGCCATCTTCTACTGCTTTTCCAGGCCATAGCAGAGAGCTGGATCGGAAGTGGAGCAGCCGGGACTTGAACCAGCGCCCATATGGGATGCCAGCACTGCAGACTGAGGCTTTAACCTGCTGCACCACAGCGCCTGCCCCTAACTTGCCTATTATTGGAGTGATTGAGAGACAATATCTTTCATTTTTCTTCTTTTCTTGGTTTAATGGGCTCAGGGGTTTCTATTTTCTCATTAAAATTTCTCCTCCCTAATCCATCCTTTGAATTTCATTGACATTTACCTTCTTTCTCACTGCCCACTGAGTCCTCCAGATTTAAGCTGACTGCACTGTAGCTCAGGACTTGGCAAATATGCTAGACCTTGAAAGAGGTCTCTCAGATTTCGGATGAAAACCCTGACTCTGATCAACTCATAAAATACAGAAGTATTTCAGCCAAGTGTATTAGATGCCTGGTTATAAGATTTAGGTACCTTGGAAGATGTAAGGAAAAACAGTGTTCTAAACCTGATGGCAAACAGTACAGAAACTAATTTTGCCTTCAACAATATTTGCTAGAACATATTCATAGGGTCAAAATTGACACATAATGAAACACAATTTGATTATAATTTCAGCACAAATGAGGTCATTGCTGTTTCTCACCACTATCAATTCTCCATTATAATGAATGATCCCAAGGTAGGGCAAAAATAATTTGTAGTCTAAACTTTTTTTTTTCGGTCTTATTACTTGAAGTGCTTTAGAAATTTTCCTTTCAGATTTTGTGTTTGTTTAGCAGGTTCCTCACAATATATGTGTGACTAAAATTATTTTAACTGCCTTAATAGTATTATAATGCCAAAGATTCTGTAGGTTTTGTGACAACATGTTCCTGTGTTTTGTATGAGTTTACTTAATTCCTTTTCAGTGGTTGATATTTGAACCTCTTTCATTTAGAACAGATCCAGCTACACAATTCACAAAGTGCCTAAACAGGTCCAGGAGGGGTTAAAGAACACACCACCAATGTAAAAACTGCCACTCTATTGCATAATATACACAATTGTGTAGTTGAATCTGGGTTCTTGTGAAATTTTAATCAAGTGACTAGGAAATGTGATATATGATTATAATATAAGGGAATTCTACAAACTACTACATCTGTATGTTTTGTTTTGTGATCCTATTGTAATTTTCAAGGAAAGGAAATTTCCAAATTTTTAGATCTATAAAGTTTTACTTTTTATTCTACACAGAGAAAGTTTTATGAGAAGGGTATGAGGATGAGGGGGTGATTTTTAAGATGTATTACTAGACTTCTTCATATCAAATGCAATGGAACAGAACTGAGACATGTGACCCCAGATGGAAACAGGGAACTAGAGGTAGCATATGATTTATTAACGACACAATGATCAGATAAGTTTTTACAACCATGCAGGTTACATGGTATTTTGTGCTCAGAGCACATCAAACACTGTTTACTAACAAATTTGTGTTTTTAGTCACTGAAATCTGAAGGGCAAAATGAAAATTTAGGTCTCCATGCTGTTTGCAAAGCATGGCCATGAAACCAATATAAGCACTTTTTTCAAAGGATGTAATTCTGAAAGGAACGGGATGGTGAGGGGACCATTTAATTTTCAAATATCTATTTAGATGCCATCAGTGCTCAACGCAGGGCCTGGTCAGGCGAGGCCTAAGCCCAGGGAATTTGATGGGGGACCCCTCTTCATTTTGCTGTCATCAAGTCAGGGAAAAGCTGATGACCGTCAACAACAAAGCAGCAGTGGGGGAAAAAGTCACAGAAAGGGCAGAGAAGACGGAGGCTAGGTGGAAGAGGCCTTGCCAACTCTTGACTTTTTAATGAGGGTCAGAACAGTATTGGGGATTTCCTTTACTGAGTGATGATGTAGGTCTGGGGAAAGGGGACCCGCTCAGTGACTCACCCAGCTTTCCCATTAGTAGGGTTCTGCCGGGCACCCTGCAGTTTCCTCTTCTCACATTACCTAGTGACTCACGGAGGGGAGAGGGCTCCATCAGGGACTTACCCCAGTTCAAACACCTATGGGGTTCCAATAATCCTCGGCCTGTTGGGTAACGTGAGGGCTGACTCTCCCTCTCGCCAAGGAGTCGGAGGTCTTACCAGTCAGGAAAGGGACTTCCCTTGAGACTTGTTTCAACAGCACACAGTGGCCGTGGACATCTGAGAGGTCGTTTCCTGTTCTGCTTGCCATCTTGGGGTGGCTCTGAAAAGCTTTCTCATTTCTGTCAGGAGGAAAATGTCCAGGGTTGATTGATTACCACACAGAATTCAGGGACCATAATTGGGCAACTTGCATCAGGTGTCCAGATGTAGAGATGGGGAGGCTGTGGTAACACAAGTTTAAATTCTAGGTCTGCAGGTAGAACTGTACAGGGCCCCACCCCAGACACTTGCATGGGGGCCTTCTTGGCTCTGAGATTCTTCCCCCAGACCCAACACTCCAAGTCCAGATGAAATGGCCAGATTCAGGGGTGGGGGGTGGGGCTCTATAATTTAAATATACATATGAAAAAGAAAACAACAAACTGCATATTTATGACTTGTAACTATCCTGGGGGGGGGGGGGATAACAAGAACTAACCCAACTCGAATAGTTTCAAAACCTGGCCCACGTGGCATCAATAATCCACACAAGATGAAAATTATTTCCCAGGATGCACACCCCGCACTCCAATTGATATTTTAATAACTTGATTAAAAATTTCCCAGAAGTCTATTAAATAGAGTCAGGAAACAGCCTGTGGTGTAGGTGAGGATTTTGTGTTTGCAACGGAAACTTTCAGCCCCACGAACAGAACAGCTAAAAACTCAGTTCTGTGTGTTCTTCCCCATCCTTGCCTAGTCCACAAGTGAAACACTGGAAGCGCAGGGTTTGGGTTTTCCTTTTTTTCTTCTCCTCTCTGCCACAGCCAGGTAGAGTGACCCGATCCAATTTTTAAACTGTCTTCTATCTCCCACTACGAATAAACCCAGACGTTCCAGAACAAGGGAGATCGCTTTTAAACCTTTCAGCCGCCAAAGGCCCGGGTGGGGAAGAGAGGGAAGAGGGGGAGAAGGAACTTGAATTAAAAAAAAAAAAAAAAAAATCGAGGAAAAAAACCCAGTAACTCAAAATTTTCAGAACACGGTCTGCCATTTCCTCATCAAGAAACAAGAGCGACAGTCCTTGGGCCAATGCAGTGTAGACGTGTCTACGAAGACCCTGGTCCGTCCGAGCGAGAACACCCCATTCCCCTGGGGACCCCCCCTCCCCGGCAGCCACCAATCTCGGGGGTCCCTCCTGTGCCCGAGCCGGGCCGGCCGCCTCAGGTTCGCCGTCGCCAGGTCGCCGCAACCACCTTTTCCCTCCTCGGGGCCCCAGCGCTCGGACACCTCCCCGCCTCCCTCCCCTCCCTCCCCGGCGGTGGGGCCCGCTCCCGGCTCGGGAACGGCAGCCCGGGCCGCGGCGGCAGGAAGCGAGGCCCTTGTTGATGCTGTTCCGTGGCGCGCCTCTCCGCCCTCCGGCGGCTGCCCGGCTCTTCCCGGCTCGCGGCCGCCCCCCTCCGCGCCTGCGCAGTGCCCCGCGGGGGGGCGGGGCTCAGATTCCTGTCAGCGGCGGCGGCGGTGGCGGCGACAGTCAGTTCTCGCTGAGGAGAAGCAAGAAACGGACCCGTTGGCTCTCCCCCCACCCCTTCCCCGCCCCGAACCTCTCTCCTGGCTCGCCGGGAATCCGTCTCTTTGGAGTTTTCTGCGGAGCCCGCCGCCGTTTCTCCGTTCCTCGGCCCGGTGGAAGTCACTGCCCTCGAGGAGGAGGAGGAGGAGGAGGAGGAGGCAGCAGCAGCCGCCCTCGCTGGCCACCCCCGGTTCGGTGCCCGCGGTCCCGGAGAGGAGGTGCCGCCGCCACCGCCGCTCCCCCCCTCCCGCTGCCCCCGGGCCGGGCTGGGTCGAGCTGCGATGCCCTCGGACTTCATCTCATTGCTCAGCGCGGACCTAGACCTGGAATCGCCCAAGTCCCTGTACTCGCGAGGTGAGTCAGGCTGGGGGGTGGGGGGTGGGGCGTGGGGGCGGGGAGCCGGGGCGCGAGGGTGCTCCGGGGGTCCCGTCCGGGGGTGGGGGTGGAGAGGCCCGGTCCCGGGGGAAGCCTCCCTGGCCGGGGCGCGGAGCCGCCGGGGTCGGGGTGATGGTGGTGGTGGTAGTGGAGGGGGCGAGCGGAGGAGCGGCGGCCCCTCCCCCGCGGAGCCGCGGGCGGCTCGGGGCCCGGATTCCGTCGGCCCCCGGGTCTCTGCGGCACCGATGGCTCCGTGCAGCCGTCGGCGCAGCCGGCCCGGGCCTCTACAGCTCGGGGATCGCTCGGGCTGGGCCCCGCGCGGGGGCCGCAGCGATTCCCCGGGGCGCCGCAGCTCCCCTTACCAGGACCCTCCTCCCGGGCAAAGTTGCCCCCAGGCGGGCGGCGTGGCCTGGGGCCGGTTCTGGGTACAGGATCACCATTTTCTCCCCTCGAGCTTGTTTGTGCGCCGTCGTTCTACCCCCCTCTCGCTCCGGCCTAGTCCACTCCCTCCCGGTGTTGGGACGGCCCCCCCTCCGCCAGGCCGTTCTTCCTTTCCCCGTCATCGGGTTGCTGGAAAGGGACCGAATTTTCTTTTTTTCTCTCCCCACCTCCGTGGCATTCTAATTACTTACTTCTCCCTGTCTTTTACCCAGATAGGGGTGCTCTCTCTGGATTAGTTTTATTCCTCTCATCTCCCTGGAGTACCAGCTGAGACACAGACGCTGTCCTTTGAGAATTTTCTCTCCTCTGCTGTTCCAGGGCTTGTGGTGGAGAGGGGGCACCGGGCAGAGATGTCTCATTTGAAAACTCTTCTGGTCAAGGCCTGCAGGGGATTCCCAGCATCCGAAATATTAACACTCGAGTTGATCTCTACTGGGGTTAAATTCCTATACTGGACACCACAAGAATGTGTCAGAACAGGTTCCCTGTACGAGGGGCGGCACACCAAAATGCTCCCGCTGCACACATGAGTCCTTAAACCACTGGAAAGGGGCACAAGACATAGCTGGCTTCTTACCTGTGCATGTTTCCGTATTAAGCAAAGAACCTGTCGCTGTAAACCCCCTTCCTGAGAAATTCGGCGTTTCTCCTGATTCTGGTTTGATGAATCCATCTGCAGTTTCCACCGTGTGCTAGCTAACAAAGGGGACTTCAGGTTCACATTAGTGTATTTAAGTTGTTTAAGTGAATCGGAGTGAGGTGGCTTACTCTGGAAGGTACTGGACTTTCTAGACTGGCGGTTGAGTTTGTACACAGAGTCCTACTTAGTAACTGTAGCCATTGTCTCTTGCTTCAGTGACTTCAGTTGGCAGCCACTGTCCTGCTGTATGTTTTTTGAACATCATTACCTGAAATAGCTTGGAAATATTGTAGTTTTGAGTGTCAAAAAGAAGAGACACCATCAAGAGATCATTCTTAGAGCAGGGCTAATGTGGTACAATTGGGTGCTAAAAATAGTCAAGACATTAACACCATTTGGGCAGTAATCAGATAATTTTCCATGAAACAAGTGCTTTATGAAAATCTAAGTTTAGCTTAGAGACCAATGGAGAGGCAGTTCAACCTTCCTTTTGCAGGGAATATATTCATAAATATGGGCTTTAGCTCACAATGATACATGACAATTATTTAAGAGATGTATGCTATCCTTGGCATTTTTTTCTCATTCAGCATAAAAAGTACTTAATGCTTTTTGTGTTTTTCAGATTCTCTGAAGTTACACCCATCACAGAATTTTCATAGAGCTGGACTATTGGAAGGTCAGCAAAGTGCCATTTTTGAAGCATATTGTGTTAGTATGCAAAGGCTTTCTCTGAAATGGAATTTCTGAAATGGGAAAGTGTGAAACTTTGCAAACTCACACAATGTTTTCTCCTAAAGAGCCTGATCCTTCTTTTAGGGCAGCTGAATGTTTGATTGGGTTTTGTTGCTGTGTTTGATGTGCTGTTGGCTGTTGTACCTGCTTTGAGAAACTTTAAGAAAACAAAAAAACACTACAAAAATCATTACAAATTATGTGTTGGGTGTTTTACTTTAGAATTCCAAAGCTTAATTCTAGCTTTTTATACACAAACTGAATGTGAAAAGGCCCAAACATTAAGCTGATGAATATAATTAAAAGAGTGACACCAACACATACTAAGATTGGAAATTACAAATTTAGAACTTTTGTGTGCTGAGCATTTCAGAATGATACATTATTTATTTACAAAAGCATTGATGTAATTACTATTGCATTATATTTAAGGATAAGGGAAGCCAAGTAATCGAGATGATGATTAAGCTGTGAATAGAGAAAAAGGGCTTTAGAAAGTTCTGGCAGTGTTAATTTAATCTTGGACTAGTTTAAACAGCTGACGATACTTTAGAAAACTTTGTTTTATGTTGTTTTGAGCATTTTAAGACATAAAATACTGCTGATTTTATAGATTTCACATATATCATCTTTGGATGTTGAAATCTTGGAGTTGGACTGCTAGGTTATTAATTTCCCCATTATATAGATGAGAAAATAAGGCTGAAATTCAGAGACTTTGGGAAAAATAAGTCACACGCCAGCAGAAACAGCCCTTTTAGGGATTTTCGGTAGTGTTCTTTACCCAAAGCCAAGCTGCCACTATGAAATATATAGGAGTATGTAACCAGCAATGTAAACATTTTAATGCTCACTTTAAGAAGGGCGCAAATAAGTGAGTTTGAATTGAGTTTAGTTTTTGCTTCCTTCAGAGGTGGTCTTAGTATAATGGGGAGAAAGTGGGTTTTGTAATTGAGCTTAAGTTTGAATACTGGTTTAGCACTTTATTAGTCCTGTGACCTGGCACAAATGATTTTACTTTTCTAAACTTTTTTTTCCTGTAAAAACGTAGGTATCTCTTAAGTTTAGTGGGCTTATATGTATTAAAGTACCTATTGTAGTGTCTGGGTGCTTTAACAATAATATTAAGTACCTAGTATAGTGTCTGGCTTAATACATGGTGTTGTTTTCCTTTGGTATCAGCCAAGTTGTTTTAATAGTATAATTTAGAGCATAAAAGTCTCTAATTAGTTGTTATATTTGTATTTTTAAAACTACAGTTTGAAATGAGAGAATTTTTAGGAGGATTTCTTAGTAGGCAGATTTTTAGTTTTATTTATACTATTCAATATAGGAGCATATTATGGAATCGTATTTGTCTGTACAAACCCATCAGTTTCCTGGGCAGCAAACCAGGGTGTCATAATCCTAGAGATCATCAGGAAGGAGAAAGAAATGGAAAAAAAAAAGAGTTAATTATTCAAGAAAATATTTTTAATTAATTCATGGATATACAGTCACTTAATATATATTTGCATGTTTTTGCCTTTGTACTTTGATAATTTTTCATTTTGGTTGAGAGGATACTCAATTATTTAAAGACAGCCTCCTTTACAGATTATATGTATAATGTAAAATATAAGTATCAAGTATGTCACATCCTTTTGAAATTTTTGATATAGGATAGCTAAAACAATTGTTTGCCTGTTTAATGAAGTATTTAATCTGTGCTGCCCCTTTGCTGTTTTAAACCTTTTTAAATGAACATTTTAAAGCAGAGAGAATAAAAATAATGACCCCCCCATAAACATTACCAGACTTTAACAATTATCAGTTGTATTCTGTTTTTTTTATCCACATCCATCTTCCAAACCAGATTATTATTATTATTTTTTTAATTTGACAGGCTGAGTTGGACAGTGAGAGAGACAGAGAGAAAGGTCTTCCTTCCGTTGGTTCACTCCCCTATGGCTGCTATGGCCAGCGCTATGCCGATCCGAAGCCAGGAACCAGGTGCTTCCTCCTGGTCTCCCATGTGGGTGCAGGGGCCCAAGCACTTGGGCCATCCTCCACTGCCTTCCCAGGCCACAGCAGAGAGCTGGACTGGAAGAGGAGCAACCGGGACTAGAACCCGGCGCCCATATGGGATGCCGGTGCCGCAGGTGGAGGATTAACCTAGTGAGCCACGGTGCCGGCCCGATTTTCTCGTCTTTAAATGGGAGTAATAATCTATTTTTTTTTTTTTTTTTTTTTGGACAGGCAGAGTGGATAGTGAGAGAGAGAGACAGAGAGAAAGGTCTTCCTTTGCCGTTGGTTCACCCTCCAGTGGCCGCCATGGCTGGCACGCTGCAGCCGGCGCACTGCGCTGATCCGAAGGCAAGAGCCAGGTGCTTCTTCCCGGTCTCCCAGGGGGTGCAGGGCCCAAGGACTTGGGCCATCCTCCACTGCCTTCCCGGGCCACAGCAGAGAGCTGGCCTGGAAGAGGGGCAACTGGGAAAGAATCCGGTGCCCCGACTGGGACTAGAACCTGGTGTGTCGGCTCCGCTAGGTGGAGGATTAGCCTATTGAGCCGCGGCGCCAGCCAATAATAGTATCTTTATCCTAGATTATTTTAGACAAATTTGTGTGAAACATTTAACCTGGCACATAGTAAATACTTGATAAATATCAGCTAAATTAAAAAAACTTTAAGCAGATACAAGCATGCATGAATTTCAAACATTTTTCATACCAAAAGAAACATCTTTTAATTCCATTTTCTATGAACTTTTTGAAGTATCCTCATACCTGTACAGTGCTTACTAGTTGCCAAGAACTTTACAGATATAAACTCACTGAATTCTTATTTTTAAGATTTATTTATTTGGGACCATTGCTGTGACATGGTGGGTAAGAACTCCGCCTGCAGTGCCGCATCCCATGTGGTCACCAGTTCGAGACCCGGATGCTCCTCTTCCTAACCAGCTCTCTGCTGTGGCCTGGGAAGGCAGTGGAGGATGGCCCAAGTCC